CCTAAGGTTAAAACAAATCTTAAAGCCTAAGCACAATTTTGCAACTTTGAACTCATGTGTTAACAAAACTGTGGAGGTGTCTTGTGTGGAGTGCAGACATGGAAACCTCTATTTTCCAGCTAGCTTGGCTTTTTCTCTTTTGTCATTACCAAAGCTTTCACTCAATATTAAATTTATTTTCCACCTAGATAGCTAGGCGGAGCTAGATCCTAATTGTTAGACAGAGGCTGAGTAGTAGCCTGCAGTCAGAGGGAGGTCAAATTGTGGTCAGGGCTGAGAAGCTCTGCAGACCAGCCCCTCTGGAATTTCCCTCTGCTCTAAAACTTTGGAGAAAGGTTTATTAACAGTGTGCAGATCTGAAGGGTGGCTGGTTTGTACTCTTAGGGGATCCTGGCCAATCCCCAACAGGAGGCTTGGTAAGGGGCCACGACAACCTTTAAGAGTGGCTGAGCATGCTCAGCAGCAGGAGAATTCGGGTGGAAGAGAGAGAGAAGGATGTGAGGCTGGAGGCAGGAGCCTGTGAGGGGGCCCAGATAGAGAGGAGCTCACCTGCAGGCTGAGGACCTTGGAAGGCTGAAAACTTGGAACTTTGCTGGCCCCCTGAGAGAGGACCACCTGTGTGGCAGGGAAGGAGCGACCCAGCTAGAAGGCCTGGTAGCATCCACCAACCCACCAGCAGCATGGGACAGGGACAAAGTGAATACACCTGCACCCCCTGGGCTACTAAGGGGAAAGGAGCACTTTAGTGGGGAGCTGGATTTGCTATCTTACCCAGGACTGTTTACACTGCAGTGGTAGGCACTGGATCCCCTGCCCAGGGATTCACCCAGTACAGCTGGATGAGGAGAGGAGTCATCTGGGGTCTGGGATGACACTACAGGAGATGCTGGCTAGATCTCCAGAAGAGAAAGTTTGCTGTAAAGACTTGTACATAGTTGCTAAGGAGTTTGTCCTCAGTTGCCATTCCCTTGAGCATTCTATACACCCCTAACCCTGTCCATGTTCCAAATTCCCTAATAAAACTTCAAAACAAAGCTCAAGGATTGGTTACTGTCTCCTGTTGCAAGTCTGAGTGAAGGAAATGCGTGTTAGCTGGCTGTGCAGGACTATAGTGGGACCCAAATCTATTGCAACTCCACTACTCCTCAGAGGGGTAGTGCTACATCTGTTTCTGCACTCACTTATTGTTTTTTCTGCCAGTCTTTGTTGTCTCATTCAAGCACAGTGTATACATCTGCCACAGCTTATTTATTTACATAAATTAGATATTGGCGAGTAAGGCCTCCCCTCTTTCCTTTTTTGGCTCTATAGCCCATTAAATACACTTTCAAGCAGATGTTTTCACTGACTTTTAAATCTAGAAATCATTAAAGGCAGGCACAAAAGTAAATGGTATTAGAATATCATTTTATTATTGTATCAATATCTAAGAATGATAACGGAAAACTAACAAAAAAGCAAAATACAAAAATATAGATTATTTCCAACATGTAAACATATGAATACACAGTACACAATATCAAATACGCATCTATTAATTGAAACCTGAATTAACAACATAAATGGATCTGGTATTTAAATTGCATTTAATGCTCAAATTATTATTATTACAATGTGATTGTAAATGCTCAAGGTTTTTTACCGTCATGCATTCTATGTGTGCAGCATCCCCCCCAGCCCCCTCAATACCTAATGGAGCCCCATCGCGATCCAGCAATGTGCACGACAGCCTTGGCTGTTGCGCGTCTCTGCCTCCTCATTGGCTGAGACAGCAAGCAGGAGCTATTGGCTCCAGCTGCTGTCAATCACAGCCAGTCAGCCAATGAGGAGAAGGGGGGTGGGACCAAGCTGCGGCTCCGTGTGTGAATGGACACACGGATCAGCGGGTACCCCGCAACAAGCTACTAGCTGTGGGGGCACCTGACAGGAGGGAAGGAACAGGAGAGCCTGAAAAGGACCTGAGAAGAGGAGGATCCAGGCTGATCTGTGAAAAACCACTGCACACAGCAGGTACGTATAACATGTTTGTTATTTAAAAAAACAAAAAGGAACCTTTAGAATCCATTTAATATAATGCAGGATAGCACCAACAATTTGTAGTGCTTTATAAAGTGAGACAGAGCAGTAACAGTACAATTCAATACAAGAGGGTTCAGAGGGCCCTGCTCATGAGAGCTTACAATCTAATAGGGAGACATAACAAGACACATCCAATAAAGATTGGCTGCATCGCAGACATGGATGTTTTCAAAGTGTATGCAGAAAAGCAAGGTGGGGAATATGCATATACTGCTGACTTAATCCAATTATTAATGCCGAATCACCACATTTAAGGATTGATAAACGAATATATATATTACATTTTTGTTTGGGGGTTATTACCACTTTAAAGGAGAAGTATGGCCAAAGCACTGTTGGCTGTACTTCTACTATGGATTACAGGAGTGCAGTTCGTTTCCAGACTTTAGCCTGCTGTCGGCTGATGTCACTCACTCCAGTCTCTGAAAAGATCTCAATCATATGATCAGGATCCATCCAGATGCCTGGACTGGCATCTGGCTCAGCCTATCAGTGAGCTGCTGAGATCCTGAGCCAGTCGCCTGCTCTACATCCTGGTGCTCCAATGAGTGCTGGAGAGGCAGAGCAGAGAGTGGGTGATTGACAGTCACCGGCTCTCTGGTCACTGAAAGCTGAGAACTAGGCGATCATTAGTTTTTGATCACTCAGTTCTCAGTTTTAGACCATATCGGACCGATGCTGTATCCACCTAGGTGAGTATAATTAAAATTTTTTTTTTTTACAAACCAATACTTCTCTTTTAAAGAGATACATTAATTAATTATACTGGTTCTGATTACCTCTGGAAATCAAAAGAGAAAGCTATATATGTCACATAATCTTTAGGTTCTGGCTTCTCAATGCCATGCAATTTAAGGAGTTGCATTGAGCAGAGAAGCAAAATTTTATGATTCTAGGTTTATGTACCTGTGACAGTTTGTGGCTTCACAGTCGGGTGCTCACGGCGCATGGGCGAGTAGCACTGCACCTTGTGAATGGTCCCGTAGTCTTCTGGGATATGTCCCGTGGGACTCTGGGGAGGGAGGGGAGGAGAGAACTTCTGCTTCTGATCACCTAGGTGAACGCAGAGGAAGTGGGAGCGGGTACCTGTCAAAATTGGGTACCCACTTCCCAATGGTGCCAATTCCTCACGGGGAATGGAGTCCAGTACTTAAAGCGGAACTTTCCATTTTTGGTGGAGCTCCGTTTTAAGTCTTAATTTAAACACAACATGCATAAAATAACAGACATATTTTTGCTTATGAAGCTTCCTGTACAGACAATAAATTAAATATTTACTTATAATGCATAACAGATATACTAGAAACATATTTTAATACTCTCACCTGTCATATGCAAAATATAGCTTATAAAAGCTGGTACTGAACATGTAAAGCCAGCTATACATGGATTGAAAGTTGAACGGTTCAGAAGGGTCCAGACAAATTTTGATCTATGTATGGGCAAACTAGTTGTACATAAGTTGATCTATCCAATGACAACCAGCGCACTGGTGTACAACCAGCCTGTTTTTTTTTTTTTCATGAATGATCAGTGCCATCAGCTATAGCTGGCAACAATGATCATTGTATTCTGCCAGTGGCAGAATACAATAGCAGAGCAGGAGTTATGTATGGCCCCCCTAAGGCTGGCTATAGATTATGCAGGTTGCATGAATGAAAATCTCTTGATTCCCCCATCAACACAGTCAGTATAGATGGGGGAATCCCTCCCATGGAGCTATTGTGATGTCCCAGCAAGGGGGGAGGGGGTAGGCATGGGGAGCTGTTCTTGCCAGGAGAACACAGTGATTACTGCTAGTGGCTATAGCATGCTAAAAATCTGACATGCTGGTTGTACCTAACTCGTTCAATGGATCAACTTGGGTTCAGTCAGCCTTCCCAGAGATGGACTGAATCTTGGCTGGTCCCTGCTGAACCAGCCGAGATTTGATCCATCTATAACCGGCTTAATTCCCCATTTACATTTGTGTGCTTTGGGAATGTGCGCAAAATTGCATGTGTGTCTTTAGTGCAATTTCTGTGTGTTTGGCAGCCCAATAAGGGGCCCAATAGGTAAAAAAAAGCATAAAAACATATATCAATGCCCGATGCATTGACCAATCACATAAATGTGAATGGGGCTAATATTGCAACCCTCTGAGTTTTTCCTCTGCCAAATGGTGGTAACATCTTTTTGTGGCCAGGCAGAGTGATCAGTTTTCTAAAAGAGTGAAGTGAGGTGAAGGAGGGATTTTTTTCATCTTAAATATCAAACAGTGAAGAAAAGTGTATATACCTCAAATTCCCCTGTAAACTCAATGCTTGAAGATAGCATTCAGTGCTTAATATTACAAGCCCTAAGGTCAGTAATGAAAAACAATCTGATACACAACTTACAAGCTTTTGACTGGCTTGGCAGCTGCTGCAAAAGAACAAAGTACACAATCATGGAATACAACAAAGAAAATAATGGAATGGTCACATCCCTTGAAAAATGTCTTGGACAGCTTTATAAGTTTGTCTCAGGCATTGGTATAGGATACTGTCATCTTAGGACTGTTTTACACCCAAGGCCCCACTGCCAAGGCAAAATTTAAAGACAAAATGTTGTTAGGTAATCCAGCTTTTAGTAACATTTACTAAAGATCACTTCTTACAAGTTACCTGAGGTTTACCACTCTTACGTGTGCCATAAAAAGTTCAGAAATACTGTAAGTTTACCTATTTACATATTTTTACATCAATTCACGCTGGTGTATAGTTAATCAAGTGGGAGGACTGTCGCTAGTATTGGCTGAGCATGGCAAACATGTCTTGGATGTCATAGTGACTGAGAACCATGATATATGAGGGTTGGAAGGTTTACCACAAACTGCAGTGAATGTGCTTCTTGCATACAATGCTTGTCAGTAAAGTTCATCATATGACCATATAATGTCATCACCAATCCAACTTCAGGTCTGCTTTGCTCCACACATACTTCCCACCACGTTTAAAGAACATTTTTTCATCAAATCCACTAAACTTGATGGCATTTTCAACACCAACATCCAAGATAGATCTGGAAGGATCTTTCCGTCCATTTCTGCAGTCCAGGAAACGCATCTAGGAGGAAGAATAACAATCAGTTTTGTCTCTAAGGTCACTTTACAGTAGTGTTCACAAGCTCCTGTAGTAAGGTGACATCAACAGTTCATATAAGAAAAGTTCCCTCACTAAAAACAACCATGAATTATAAAACCCCTTAGGAGGCTCCCTAGGTAGTTGTACCAGTGGAAGGAAATCCAAATGTAAGGAAGCAATGGCCAGACCCACAGTATGCTGGCAGAATTATATTGTTCAAATGGCCTGGGAAAAATGCAGAGATGGGGTCTGTAATTTGGAAAAGGAAGCCTGCATAGATCTGTTCAGTCTACTTCCCCAACATAAACAAGAGGATTATGTGGTTTAAAAGTAAATGAAATAGTTATTTAATTATACACTGATAAAGAATAAATGATATGTTCTGGGTCAAAACAACCCTGTTGCTATAGCAAAGACTTTTACTTAAAACACACCTGTCAAAGAAGTCTGGAAATACCTGCATTTCCTGCTGTCTGTGCCTTAGAATGTTGCTCAGATACTCAGAAATTTTCTGCTGAAGTCTGAAGTCTGATGGGAGTGTCAATCTTCTGGGTCTCCCACTGGTTCCCCCCTCTGACCTCCACTCGTTCCAGGATACTAGTGACATGGAGGTCAGCAGGAGGAACAACTGAATGAGTCACTTTCAATGTGAACTCCAGCAGAAGATTTCTTGGCATCAGAGTAGCGTTCATTAGCCCATGCATCAGGAAAGTAAAGTTCTTTCACAGCCTTTGTTGAAAGTCTTTACTTTAGTGAAGTTGTTATAAGAAAAGTACATAGGCAGGGGCGGACTGACAACTCATGGAGCCCCCGGGCAATAGGGGATCATGGGGCCCCTGTGTCCTTGCTCAAACTCAAAAAAGCCTATGAAAAAGGTACCAGGAGCATCTCATGCGGCCCCCTACTGACCTCGGGCCCTCGGGCAGTGCCCGAGTTTCCAAATGGTCAGTCCCCCCCTGTACATAGGCTTCCATTTCTGATCTGCTACTGAAGAGCTAGCAGTTATAACTAAGCCTCTGCCTTTATTACTTTTAATGAAATACAAGTGCATATTGGGATTTTACTTTACTTGCTGCATACTTGTAGTGATTTAGAAAGGACTGAAGACAAAGGATAACCATGTTTGCAACTAACATTATCAGAAGGAAGCCAGGACCAGCTTTTCCTTAAGGGTCCATTCACACAACTGCAATGTGGTAACAGAATTTATTCTAAAAGGCACCTTGCTGATTCAAAACACGGTAATGAGCTGTTTTAATGCAATGCACATTAATGAGCGGCATAATACACAGTAATGAACATGTGATAATGAGCAATAGTGTAAATGGACCCTCAGTCTGTCTGAATCATAGACTGATAGGGGTTGAGCTGCACCGCAAGTAAATCAAGCACAAGAAGGCCTGCGCCCTTACATTGCTGTAAGACACCAGATCTAGTATAGCACCTTGAGTGGCACTACAAGTAGTTATGGGGTATTGTGAGCATAGCCTGATGGGGGTTCTGCAGTGGACAAACTATTTAGAATAAACCAAGAAACATGAAAATGCATTCAATTTCACTTGATAAACTTACATATTCATCCAGTATAAGATACGAATCCCGCATCTGAAAAAAGGTAAACAGCAATATTTAAGATACAGATGTGACATAGGACTGGTACCAATAAAAATAGTTCTTGCATGAAAGGGGTTTTAGATTGTGACCTCACTGGTGCTGGGGGCTCTTTACTGCCCCACCTACCCCTGTACAGAAAGCTTTACCTTTTTTGCTTAAAGGATCAGAAGGATTAGGGCTCTGGACACACAAGCATACGCTATATAGCAAAATTATGTGAAACAGCCCAAATTATTGAGTTTGAATTTTTCCAGTGAAGGGTGCTATTAATGCTATAGTAAACAAAAACATTTTAGACTACTGTGTGCTTCCAACCTTGGAGCATTAGTTTGGGACTTTTTTCTGTTCCAGCTTGAGTGTACACCTGTGCACAAACCGAGTTCGATAAAGACATGGATTGATGTGGGGGAACTCAACTTGAGTGGGCTGCACAAAGCTCTGATCTCAACCCTATTAAAATTATTTGGGATAAACTAAAACAGTGTCTGTAAACTAGGTCTTCTAACACCTCCTGGCCTCACAAAAACTCTTTTAGCTAACTTAGCAGAAATTCCCACAGAATAAAATTAGGAGTGAGATGGTAGACAGGTACTCCATAGAAAATATACTATAATTGGCATTTCTACTCCTAGTTTTTCATTTGAGTCCCAGTACATTTGTAGATATCTGACAACCAACCTGATCTTTTATTCATCTGCTTTGCTGAGTGCCGTATAGAAACTTAAAGAGACCCTTTTTCCAGACCATTCATTTCAGCAACAGTCATCCTATAAGATTATATGTGCATTTAGTTTATTTTTTGCATGTTTTACCTGTATAGGCCTCCCATAATGGTTATGATGTCAGCAGCCCTAGCAGACTCAGAGCTGTGATAAGTGATGCTCTATAGCAGCCTTTCTCAATGTAAACCTAAGCAGAACCCCTGCTATAACTTTCAGGTATCAGAGAAACTTTACTGAAGCCAATTCATAAGAAGTCAATGACAAAATGCCCCTTACATTGGTGGTCAGTAGGAAGAATTCAACCCTCACAGTGGTGCGGTGATCAGATTGCCACCTTTACAGACAGCTAAAAAGATAACTGGTATTTGGCTTTGCCAAGTAGCATTTGTCCTGGGGCTATCCATTCACCATCAAATGGTCAAGGAACCCCTAGCAACCTCTAGAGGAATGCTAGACCTCCTCACTACCTGTCAAACGCTGCCTGAAAAGAGAGCCAACATGAAAATGAGCCCTCAGAGCTTACTTTCATTTACTAAAATAAACCTAATCAATTCTAATTCAATTCTGTGATTGTGTAAAATTATCATGGTAATTATGTTTAAGTAAAATACCTGCTGATTAGATTCTGGAACCAAACATTTCATGTTCTTATGACGATTCAGAAAACCTCTGAACTCTTCATCACTGATGACAAATTTTTCAGCCTGTCTTAATGCATCATCACCACAATTTTCCCCATCGATAATGAGACACTGGAATACCTGGGGAACAGAAACAGCATTGATTTGATACAAATGTTTCCTTTCATTGTCATATATTTTATCATTAGGCACTTCTGTGCATTTGGACCACTACAGGTTCCACTACATGAGTTTGCAAAGATCAGATCAGGGCAAAGTAATTAGCAAAACTTTTAAATTGCTCCGGAGATTTGTTTGTAAATGGTAAGACTCCCAATGTCCAACTGTTTGTTGAAATGTGCATGCTTGTATAGCAACCCTGCCATATGCAGTAAAGCCTTTAATTTTAGCATTGCCAGGCTGTATTCTGCGTTCTCTAGGTTCCCCAAACCACAGCCTATTGAGCAGCTCCTGCTGCTGGGAAGTGTCCCCAGCAATAGAGTAGGGAGGTGATGAAACAATGAGTTAAGAATATTTTTATTTCTCCTGGTCAACCACCAAAAGGGCCAATGGTGGATGTTGGGGAAGACTAGACATTTTGAGGGACTTTCCAGGAAGCTGCTATGCCTCCCAGACTCTGCTTATTTGGGCAAGGAGGACTTCTGCTAACAGAGAGGCCCAAGTTCATGGGCTTGAAGTTTGATGCTGACGTCCTAAAAGGTGACTCCAGGAGAATGGGAGTAGAAGGATGATTGCCAGTTAGGAGCATCCTGCAGAAAAAAGTTCTGGAGAGCTGGACAAAAGTTGCTGCCAGTAGACCTCGCACAGAACCTGAATTGCTTATATTGTAATTGAATAATGCTGGTCTCAGCTTACAAACAAATATTATTGGTCTTAGCATAATGGCACACCAAACCAGTCTGGGAGAGAGAGACAAATGCCAGCCATAGATGGAGCGATTTTCTTTTCTGCAACCACCGATTGCAGGAAAGATATACACTTGATTTCCCCATCAACACAGTCAGTGTTGATGGGAGAATCCCTCCATTGTGTTCTCCTGGCAAGGGGGGAGCCATCCCCACTGGGAGAACACAGTAATTACTGCTAGCGGCTACAGGGTGGTTGTACCCAAGATGATTTAGCAATGAACTTGGGTACATTCAGCCTGCCCTGACATGGTTCAAATCTTGGCAGGTCCCTGCTGAAGAGATTTGAACTGTATAAGTCTGGCTTAAGGTCAATTTTCTTTCCTTTTGTTCATTTGTGAGAAAGGAATGTTCGGAAGCTACCGTATATCCTGCGCACTATAACCCTCACTCCCCCAGAGTTGCTCAAATAAATTCTCATGGAGTATAGACAGATGGAGTGGAGGTTCATCTATTGATTTCTGCTGATTGGTCAGTGAGTGCTTGAGGCAAGTGTGGAACTGTTACCCCTAAACAGACTAGGAGAGCCCAAAAGGCATAGAGGAGATGTTATAACAGAAAGTTCAGCTGCAGTTTTACCATACCAACTGCCAAGTCACAAGTTAACATGACCAGCAGCAAGATCATGGCCATGGCAATACCGCCCTACAACAGTGTATAATACATGCAGTTGTGGCACAGTGCCACAGGCTTTAAGTGGTTAAAAAAGGCTTTCAGGAGGAGACATACCATCTTAAAGATGTCTGTCAAATGCCTCTGAAAAATGACCCACCTCAGACCACTTTTCAGAAGGAGATGCTGAGGCGACCAAGCCAAGTTGAATAGAGTACAGGATTTAGGTTGTTATGATCTGTACACACGATAAAAGGTGTTTGGAATTCCTCACAGCTGTTGAACACTGTCCAATGGCCAGTGTAGTTGCTGTGTCATATGGAGCTGAATGGCTAAATAAGAGGTGTCCCAGCCAAACTTAAAAGGTATGTATAGCATAGGGAAGGGTTAAAATACCTATCAGGTTATGTTTGTTGTATCCCACTGGGGAGATTTCCCTTCTCCTCCTGTCCTAGAGACACAACAGAATATGATAGGAAATCTCAACAAAGTGAGGTAGTCCTGTCCTTGAGAGTTGTCACTAGAACATTTGTCTCTATTGGATGATTTATGCTTGCCTCTTACTCTGGTGACAGCTCAAAAATGTAGAATTTTCCATCAATTGACAGGTGGTGAGAAGGTGAAATGTCACCTCCTCACCACCTGATGTATCCCTATAAATGCCACATCACCACGCTGCAATTGCTTTGCATATGGTTGTGAGGCAGTTGTGGCACAGCCCCATAGACTTACATGGGTCACTTTTGGCAGTGGTAATGCCCACTGAATATGATATGCCGTTTCATTTTTGCCATGGCTGTGAAGCACATGATTGCGGGTGCAACATATGTAGTGCCTTCAGCAGTTGCATGTCTGTGTTCAGATGGGTGATAAAATGGGTGTTCGGACGCTTGGTTTTACCACCCCCTGGCCACATATGTGAACAAAGCTTTAGCTGAGAGTAACAAAAGAGTAACCTACCTTCCAGCGTATTGGGCTTATCATCTCAATCTCCTTTGTCATGTCCTCATCCACATTGTAATGGTTGATGACAGAATTTATTTTGAAAGCCACGTTATAATCCCGACACCATTTTCTGATCTTCATCAGTTTCTCCACATGGTTTTTCTTTCCTTTTCCCCGACCAATGAGCTTGTTCACTTCTTCTTCAAAGCTGTCACAGGACACAGCAAGGATATCCAGGTGTTCTCCTGGGACATAAACAGATCTCCATTTAGGGAAATAATATGACAGAGTTCATGTATTTATTAGCTTATACTAAAGCTCAGCTCACGCTTTTTCCTAAATTAATTAACAGGCCTAATGAACATGGACTCTTACTAGGTCCTGTGTACAGAGGTTTAAAATCTCTGGCACTTTTGGGTGCCCGGATGAGGTCACGATTTCCACCTCAGTCAATCTGAGGAAGTTTTGTGTTCCTTCATAGAATACAAAGCTCCTTGTAAATGGTTGAGCAACGCTCAACCTGATTCTATTTTGCTCCAGGAATGGGATGGGAAGTCCCTGACTTGCTGCCCCAGGAACACAGAAATATATACTGTATGTAGCTGAGGATACATACTGTTCACACAGTGCCAACAGCCACTGTATGTCTTAGTGAAGGAAATAGTTTGCTTAGATCAGCTTGGTCCTAACTATTTTAAACTCATTAAAAAATGGTCTTAAAAAAAAAACAAAACATGGTGCTAGGCTTTAACCTGGCCATACGCTAGTAGAAGTTTGTTCAAAGTTTTTCATTTTAAGAACATTAGCCTGATTTTCAAAGCATTAGTATGGTCAAATCAACATATGTTATTGACCAAGGTGACGAGAAAGATCAAAAGAAGCAAACAACGAATGAACAAATTGCTAACAGTGTGTATTAGGTGCAGTGTGGTGCAGGAAGTAATGACAGAGTCCAGTTGCAGGAGCAGGAACTTGTATTGAAGGAAATGCTCAACAGGCAAACCAGCGGGAGAACACCTCGCCAGGAAAACACTCACAGTTCTGTGCAATGTAGAGATGTAGAGGGTAAAGATGCAGCGGGTAAAGATGCACCGACAGCATTTGTCTTCAGAGGATGGAATGCAGCCTGGCTGGTCAGGTCCCAAAGGGGAGGCTTCCATAGCAGGATTGCAAGTCCCTTGCCTGTCCCTACTCCTCAGGAATCTTTCCATGCCACTAGTATTTTCCCTTGCAGATAGGTGCTCTTTCCCTACTCTAACCACTATGTGGAAGTGCACTAAAAACTGGACTAAGGACCAAGGTGGCCACCACGGGTCACCTGGATGCAGCGTAGCCAACAGAAATGCTGTTTTCAGGGACCACATGGGTGGTACTAAAGTCTGGAGAGGAAGTCCAGGGGAGACACAGTTTCTGTATGGCTTCCTGGGTCAAGTGTTCCCGTTGGCTACGCTTCGGCCATGTGACTCTTGGTGGCCAAGTTGGGTCAGCAAGGTCTATATAAGTCCCCGCCCCCAGGTTTTAGTGCACATTTTGTGAGTGGCTAGTGTAGGGAGAGAGACCCTGCTTGTTAGAAAAGGTAACTAGCAGTAGAGAAAGATTCCTGATGAGGAAGGACACACTGGCCAGGCTGCATTTCACCCTCTGAAACAGATGCTTCCCGCACCTCTCCTCAGCCACATCTTGGTTGCATTGAACTGTGAGTTATTTTCCTAAGCATTGCTCTCCTGCCTGGGGGTTTGTAACGTTGACATTCTGCTCAAAACAAATTTTACTGCAATGGGTTGATCAGCTTCTAACTAAGAAGACACCATTTTGAAGTATTTTCAAACAATATTCATCAAGTGTATGGCCAGCTTTACAATAGTAAGATAAAGAAAAGAAACAATTAATCCTTTCTGCGACAATAGAAATCCATGTTAGAGCACCGTCCATATGACTCACCATAAATCTGAAACCACTTTTCTGTGATCAGACTGCCATTGCTCACAATGCTGACACTGGGCAACCTCAGCTCTTTCTTGCAATACTCCACCAGCTTTCCAACAAAGTTCCCTCTGTCCTGCAAGAATGGTTCACCTCCAGAAAAGTTAATCTTCTCCATACCTGGAAGACATAAAGGAGGCTTTATGGGGTCAAGTCACAAAACATATAGCAAGCCTCTAATCTATGAAGCTTCATAGACACATTTAGTTCGGGTTTGAGATCAGCTCAACATGCTTCCGAGTTCCACCTTTAATTCATTTGAGATTTTACGTACGTAATGCACTTTTGCACTCCCTATCACTTATATTTGATGAAGGGCAGTTCTGAATTGGACAAAAGTCTGTGTGTACAATTCCCAATACAGAGACAAAAGGTAGCACAGCATACATGAGAGTGACAACTCTGCTCTGAATTCAGGAGCAGTGCAGCATCATTGACACCCAATCATAGAAAGCTGCATTAGATGGACTAGCAAGCTTAACAAGTATTTGCGGGACTTTGCAGGGGGACTAAGAGAAAACTGTAAGTGCTGCAGCTCATATTTTTTAAGGTGAGGCAATGGTTTTAAGCTGATAATATTCAGATGTATTTAAATACCTTTAAAAAGACCATATATTAACTAATAAATTCCTGTTTGCTTCATTGTTTGGCTGTGCTTTGCAATCACGCTACCAGAAATCAAACCAATAAAACTGAAATTTTGTGACTTTTTTTTTTAATCAGCACAAGGGATGATACGTACCTGAAAAATGAGTCCTATCTGTTGGCGAGGCCCCTTTTCTGTGAAATCCTTTACCCTCCTGGATAGCCCTACAGCGGTGACCTTCTGGCACTGCGGGGGTTAATACAAGTGGCTTCACCTGTGACAGGCACTCATCAAACAGTGTTGACTATGCCCACCCTTTGTGCCCCCCTGCTCCATTTATAAAAGGTGTACTATAACTTCCGGCAATAAACACTTTGTGAATTGGTGCCCAAAACTGAATTGCGTATTCCAGATGAGGTATTACTAATGATTTGTATACGATGTGCTTGTAGCCCAGCTATGGTGCCGCTGTCACAGCCAGGGCTGTGGATAAGGGGTACCACCAGTCCTCCTGTACGGGGCCCAGGCCAGCTGGGGGGAGCAGGGTGAATTTGATGTGGGCAGGGAGGGTGATCGGCACAGGGGGGGGGCAATTTTTAGAACTGATCCCCTGTATGGCCCTCTCTGCAGCAGCTGAAAGCTGGCTTTTTCTCCTCTCCTCTCCCTCCTGCTGGCTTTCAGCTACTGCAGAGAAAACCAGACAGAGGATCAGTTCCAGTAACTGCCCCCCAGCGCACCTATCACCCTCCCTGTGAACCATATGTTTCCCCTTGCTGCCCAGGCCCCTCTGTGTGCCCCCTCCCCCGCAGTGCTCTTGGCTTCCCTCCTCTCCTTACCACCAGCAGCTGCAATCACATATTAGGATTGTTCAGGATGGAGAGTGGGGGGAAGGTCTAGTAAATATGTCACATTTATCATCCCTTTCCTTTCCTGAATTAACACAATGAGTGACCGGTACCAATCACTCACTGTGTTCATTCATAACTGAAGCATAGTAACCTGTTTTTTTTTTTTTGGTGGGGGAGGACCCAGTCAGGTTGGCTATATGGGGCCCTCTGGTTTCTATCAGCAGCCCTTGTCACAGCAGTCACACAACTCTGGCTGTCACACAGCCTCTCCTGCTGCAGTGACTTCTCCTCCTCTTTCATGCTGTGATCAAGTACAACTTGGATCAATGTGACTATGTATATACCATACCTGGCTGATTCCCCTGGAAGCTGGAAAAACATTGAAGTAGAGACTGCTACTCTAGTGATCCCCCTTGCTGCTTAAATGACTGCTCTTCTGTATTGTAAACACAGGAGGTCAGCTGCTTGACATAGGCGCCATTAAGAAAATGTTTTTGCCTTGCCTGAATAAATGCAAATCATTGTTTGATTGGATGAGGTGGAGAGGTGGGGTGGTGATGTCACGCTCACCACCTCATTTAATCAGTGAATGTTTTGCATGCATTTAGAAAATGCAAGCATTCTCCAAATGGAGCCTGAACGGCTGACCTCCAGTGTTCACAAGGCATCAGGCTGGCTGCTAAACATGGAGCTCTGAAGGAAGTGGAGGTCTCTGGAGTAGCGCTGTCTTCTTCAGTGATTTCCAGCTTCCAGGGGCATTGGTCAGGTATGTCAGATACTGTAAATATATGTGTGATTCTTGTGAGCTACTATGGTGTAATTAAATTATCTAATCAAGTAAAAATAAAAAGTGAAAATATTATTTAGTGACTGAATTAATACATATATGAATTAATTATAAATTAAATCAATGGGTTGCCTAAATAGTTACATTAGCCAAGCTGGACCAATGTAGCTATGTAAAAAATGCCAAAGCTCAGAATAATTTTTTAAATTTGCTGAAATTTCCATGGCTTTTTAAAAATATTGACATAGCAATCCAAATCAATTTTTGAAAATTACAAAATTTGTTGTGTCCATAATGGTACTATCATAAACATTGACCAACAATTTTCCTGCATCTCTGTACGAACGTTCAAATAAACGTTTGCTGGTAAATGGCCAGCTTTAGGCAGCACTGTAGGTAATACCAAAACATGGCTGTTTCTCAACCTCTCCACACAATCACAACGATGAGTAGACATGTGTGTCGAAATGCAGACAAAATTTTTGTTATTCGGAGATTTGAATTTCCAAATAAAAATATTAAGGCTACTTTCACACTGATCAGCTGCGTAGGCGTTTTTATCTCACTTTTGAAGCGCTTTCTGAGCGTTTTTGAAGGACATGTAACTTAAAAACTGCACCAAAAACACTTCTCAGAGGCATTTTTGAGACACTTTTCAGAAATTTTTCTGGCGTTTTCCATTGATTTCAATGGAAAGAGGCATTTTTAGGGCATTTTTTTAACTCCCTAACATGCCCCAAAAATGTAAACATATTGCTGGCTATTGCTGATTTCTCTCAAAGACTGTGTATTAGAATATAGCTGTCTTCCAAAATTCAAATTTTGAAAAGAATAGAATAGAATAGAAAAAGAAAAGAATAGAGTAGAAAATAAAGCAAAAGAATAGAAAAGGATAGAATAGAAAATAAAAGAATATGATAGGATAGAATAGAATAGAATAAAATAGAATAGAAAAAATAGAATACATTAAAATAGAATAGAATAGAATAGGATAAAATAGAAAGAATATATCCATCTCCAGAAGGTCAAATTTAAAAAAGAATAGAATAGATTAAAACAGAATAGAATAGAACAGAAAATAAAAGCATAGAATAGAAAATAAAGGAATAGAATAGAAAAGGATGAACAGAATAGAAAGGAAAAGAACAGAATAGAAAAAAACAAAATAGATTAGAATAGAAAAGAAAAAATATAGCCGTGTTCCGAATTTTTAATTTAGAAAAGAATAGAATAGAATAAAACAGAATAGAATAGAAAATAAAATAATAGAAGAAAATATATAAAAATAGTATAGATTAGAAAATAAAATAATAGAATATAACAAAATAGAAGGGAATAAAATAGAAAGAATATAGCTGTTTTCTGAAATTCAAATTTCAGAAAGAATAGGATAAAAGAAAACCAAATAGAATGAACAGAATATAATAAAATAGAATACAAAATAAAAGAAAATGAAAGAATAAATCACCTATAATGTTGGGTGTCCTATATGTGTGGATGTTGCTGCGTTATATAAAACATTTAGAATGGCGTGCCCTTTTAGAATGATGGACAGCCTTGAGGCACCCCATTTTAGAATGGGGTGCCTCATAATGTCCATAATTTTAAAGGGTGCCTCAGGACTGCCCATAATTTTTAAGGGTGCCTCAGGACTGCCCATAATTTTAAAGGGTGCCTCGGGACTGTCCATAATTTTTAAGGGTGCCTCAGGACTGCCCATAATTTTAAAGGGTGCCTCGGCTGTCCATAATTTTTAAGGGTGCCTCGGGACTGTCCATAATTTTTAAGGGTGCCTCGGGACTGTCCATAATTTTTAAGGGTGCCTCGGGACTGTCCATACATTTCAAGGGTGCATTGGGACTGTCCATAATTTTTAAGGGTGCCTTGGGACTGTCCATAATTTTTAAGGGTGCCTTTACTGAAAAAAGGTTGAGAAACACTGCTATAGGTAATACCTGTCTCAGGACCATGGAGAACAGTCCAGGCTATAGGAATGGACATATCCACTTTTTTACCAATAGGAAATGGCAAAATCTTTAGCTAGCATAGCAAACAAGAGATGTAGCCAGTACCTGCAGCCTTCAGCATGGCCAGTCCATTCTTGGCTTCCTCTATCGGTAGGACGAAGGAGGTCTTGGCGGTGTGGAAGCAGAATCCACACTTGTAGTTGCACTGCCGGGTGAAGTGATAATTGACACTGGTGGGTATAACACTCTCTGGATCCTGGACCTGTCTGCTTGGGACAGAAGGGGCTTCTGGTGCAGCAAGGAACCAGCACCTAGAGGAGATCATCTTCAGGCCATGCAGCAGGGAGCTCATATTCTTCCAGATGAAGACAAGTATCTCCACTACAGGCAGAAAGCTCAGGGACAGCATCTTGTAGGATGAGTTTTATCTGACAGCTAAAGAGTGACTGTCTGACAGCTAGGGAGTAACTGAGCTGATCTCATAACTGCACTGTTTATATAGTCTCAGCTGGCTGGTGATCACAAGTCAGAGAGTTTCACATTCTATTCACAGAACACGGAATAGAAACCTGCAGCAAGCACTATACACACCCGAGTTTTGTTTCTGCTCATTAGTACCTCTAGTGGTGAAACTTTGCAAGGTACTCTGGCACTGAGTGATGATGAATATAACACATTCACCTACTAACAAGAACATATTTTATGTGAGTTTAGTAAGAAGCCTGTCAGATGTTTTTTCATCTGTTTTTCTAGCAAACATTTAAATGGAAATTAAATATAAACATACTGCGCTGAAAAGTGCTGTCTTTGAATTGAGTATGATGGGTCTTGTGCAGGTGTGTGGTGGCCCTTAATTTCCTCTTCATGTGTTTTGTGGAATGTATATATATATAAAAAATGTATCTTAATTTATTTTAATTTTTTTTAAATAAATTTATTATTTTTATTATGAAAACAGAACAGCCAAGGTTAGGCATTTTTGTTAAAGAAGTGTCTAAGTAAGCAGTATGTGCAGTAATGGAGTGTATAGGGTTTGTGGGGCAATGTATGTAGAAGATAAGTGCAGAAGGTATGATGTGAGAGGGTATGTGCAGGAGAGGAGTACGGAGGGTTTGGTAGGGAGCAGTATGTGCAGGAGAGGAGTGCAGAGGGTTTGATAGGAAGCAGTATGTGCAGGAGAGGAGTGTGGAGGGTTTGATAGGAAGCAGTATGTGCAGGAGAGGAGTGTGGAGGGTTTGATAGGAAGCAGTATGTGCAGGAGAGGAGTGTGGAGGGTTTGGAGCAGTGTGCAGGGAGGGTGCGGAGGGTTTGATAGAAAACAGAATGTGCAGGAGAGGAGTGTGGAGGGTTTGATAGGGAGCAGAATGTGCAGGAGAGGAGTACGGAGGGTTTGATAGGGAGCAGTATGTGCAGGAGAGGAGTGTGGAGGGTTTGAAAGGGAACAGAATGTGCAGGAGAGGAGTGTGGAGAGTCTGATAGGGAACAGAATGTGCAGGAGAGGAGTACGGAGGGTTTGATAGGGAGCAGTATGTACAGGAGAGGAGTGTGGAGGGTTTGATAGGGAACAGAATGTGCAGGAGAGGAGTATGGAGGGTTTGATAGGGGGCAGTATATGCAGAAGAGGAGTGCGGAGGGTTTGCTAGGAAGCAGTATGTACAGGAGACGAGTGTGGAGGGTTTGATAGGGAGCAGTATGTGCAGGAGAGGAGTGCGGATGGTTTGATAGAGGGTAGTGTGTGCAGGAGAGGAGTACGGAGGGTTTGATAGGGAGCAGTATGTGCAGGAGAGGAGTACGGAGGGTTTGATTGGGAGCAGTATGTGCAGGAGAGGAGTACGGAGGGTTTGATAGGGAGCAGTATGTGCAGGAGAGGAGTACAGAGGGTTTGATTGGGAGCAGTATGTGCAGGAGAGGAGTGCGGAGGGTTTGATAGGGAGCAGTATGTGCAGGAGAGGAGTGCGGAGGGTTTGATAGAGGGTAGTGTGTGCAGGAGAGGAGTACGGAGGGTTTGATAGGGAGCAGTATGTGCAGGAGAGGAGTACGGAGGGTTTGATAGGAGGAAGTATGTGCAGGAGAGGAGTGTGGAGGGTTTGATAGGGAGCAGTGTGTGCAGGAGAGGAGTACGCAGGGTTTGATAGGAGGCAGTATGTGCAGGAGAGGAGTGCGAAGGGTTTGATAGAGGGCAGTGTGTGCAGGAGAGGAGTACGGAGGGTTTGATAGGGAGCAGTATGTGCAGGAGAGGAGTGCGGAGGGTTTGATAGGAGGCAGTATGTGCAGGAGGGGAGTGTGGAGGGTTTGATAGGGAGCAGTATGTGCAGGAGAGGAGTATGGAGGGTTTGATAGGAGGCAGTATGTGCAGGAGAGGAGTGCGGAGGGTTTGATAGGAGGCAGTATGTGCAGGAGAGGAGTGCGGAGGGTTTGATAGGGGGTAGTATGTGCAGGTGAGGAGTGCAGAAGGTTTGATAGGGGGTAGTGTAAAAAAAAATAATAAACAATTTACAGCACCCCCGTCCCCCCATGCTCGTGTGCAAAGGCTTATAGAGCGACGACTATGGAGATTTTTAAATACCTTAATTTGGCACCATGTCACAAGCATGCACAATTTTAAAGTGTGACATGTTTGGTATTTATTTACTTGGCATAGCATCATATTTTAGATTTTACTAAAAATCGGGATATTACCGTATATTGTATTTGTGTTAAAATTCCCGAAAATGTATTTTTTTCCCAAAAAATTTGCATTAAAAAAAACACCATTTTATTCCCTAGGGCCTCTTCTAAAATAAAATATATAATGTTTTGCAGGTTCTAGGTAATTTTCTATCATAAAATGTTGATTTTTAAATGTTAAACAAAAAGAGTCAGAAAAGGGAGGGTCTTTACATGAATAACTATGAAATAAGTTAACCCCAACTTACAAGTGTCAGCTCTCTCAAAATGTTCCTATACTTACTGATAATCACTGCTGCGAGACCACCCTTTTATAGAAAAGGGGCTGGGTTATCTATTAATAAATGTATTTCCACTTTTGCAGCCAAACTGGGATAGCCTCTACTTTATTTGGTACATTCACATAGCACAACTATGCCTACATTTTGCTTGCTCTTTTCTGAAAACCCCAAAGCTGAAGTTTTTCTCTCCTATGCATAGGGGACTGGGTAGTAAATGATTACCGAAATTAACCGCGTCTATACTGTGCTGGCAGATCTTATTATTAGTTATAAACTAGATTTGAACAAAAGCTGTCTTCTACATTGTATGCTAATGAAGTTAACCTCAGCATGTCACTCTTTGTCAGTGGAGACAGATTGAGTTTGTCTCATTGCAAATTGTTCAAAGTAGCTTGCAGTCTACCTAAGGCCTGCCCCAAGCAAACAGCTAAAAAGGTAAGAAATATTTACAAAACACATATTTTTTATATTCTGTGCGAAAGGGAAGCCTTCAGTGATCAGCCAAAAGTCTGCAATTCACAAACTTTGCGATTCTTGGAAATTCACTGTGAACCCATGGTAGCAGTTAACTTGACCCTATATATTAATGCACAGACGATTTTATAGAGGAGAGAAAAAAATAAGTGTCTAGGACAGTGGGGGTGGTGAGTACTGTGTTAGCAGCACAGGGCCAGACAGAGGGTCAGGGGTCAAACAGTCTCATAGGACAGTCAGAGCAGCATGAAAACCCCTCCTACAAGCTTTTACCAGTGCTCAGCTGGAAAATAATAGAGGTCACAAGACAGCTATTTACTGCTGATGAGAAAAGGTATTTAGCAGTTTATATTTATTAAAATAATTGCATTTCCATGTTTTGTGCACCGTGGGAGACCAGATATAGTGAATGCAGTGTCCTGGGTTTAATAACACTTTAAATCCTCAAAACCAGGTACATCAAAACACAATGTGATCAATGTATTACAGTTTGCAGAATGGATCTGTAGTGAAGTATTGATCTCTTTGTATTGGCCCAACACATCCCCGTTTAATCAGTACCTCCACAAGACATGTTAAAATGATTTTATTCAAATATGTTCACCGTAACAAAGTCCAACAAGGTATTTTTCCTATTACGGACTTAAAATACCATCAAATTCCTTAGATTTAACACAGAATCTGCAAGGTCAGTATCTGCCTCTCTGAGACAAGGGGAATACATGGCATCCATAGACATCCGAGATGTTTCTATTTATCCACCTCATCAGTGATTTCTGTGCTTTGCAGTAGCAGACAATCACTTCCAGGCTGTTACACTACCCTTTGGCCTATCCTATGCTCCTATATGATTCAAGAGGTCCTAGCACCTTTTTTGTTGCCCTTTTCAGAACTCAAGGCATCCAGGTCAGAGGCTATCTAGACGACCTTCTCTTGTAGGACTCATCACCCTTCCAGTGGTCAACAACATCCACAGGGCAATTCAAATGCTCCAGTCTTACGGCTTGGTGAGCAGCTAAAAAAAATCTGTTCTCCAGCCTTCTCTTTGCCTGGAATACTTGGGTATGATCCTGGACACATCCCATGCTCAAGAATTGAGATCAAAGAAACATGCCACAATGAGATTTTCAATGGGAGTTCTAGGCCTCATGGTGGTCTCCTTCGTGATTGTATCATTAGCCTAATTTCATTCAAGAACTCTTCAACACAACATCTTGTCAACCTGGAACAAGCATGCTCATTCCCTCATTAAGCCCCCCGTGCAGCACAATGTGCTGCCTTGAGATCCCAGCTTGGTTCTTTCTGCCCTGCAGAAACCACACGTTGGACCCATCAGGGATATTGCTTTAGAGGATCTCTCCTTCAAAGTATCATTTTTTGGCTTCTATAAAGTCTGTCAGACATGTCTCTGAGTCCGTGGCTCTCTTTTATAAGAAGCAATTCCTCATACTTTACAAAGACAAGGTCATCTTACACCCAGGACCACCCTTTCTTTCTAAGGTGGTATCAGTCTTCTATCTCAAAGAGGACATAGCCCTACCATCCTTATGCCCTGCTCCAAAAATCCAAAGGAAATAGATCGTGGTCAGGTGACTGGTATATCGCAGTCTTTTATAAGAAGCAATTCCTCATACTTTACAAAGACAAGGTCATCTTACACCCAGGACCACCCTTTCTTTCTATGGTGGTATCAGTCTTCTATCTCAAAGAGGACATAGTCCTACCATCCTTATGCCCTGCTCCAAAAATCCAAAGGAAATAGATCGTGGTCAGGTGACTGGTATATCACAGTCTGGGCTTGCTGACCTGTCATCCCAGAGCATCAAACAGTGCAATGCAGAGGGACTACTTGTAAAGTTGGAGCTGTAGTAGGGAGCAAGAGCCGCATAAGCCGATGCCTCCT